AGCCTATCCTGGAACTCACTCTGCAGACCAGGCTGGCCTCAAACTCACAAAGATCTGCCTGCCTCTGCCTCACAAGCGCTGGGATTAAAGGCATTAACCACCACCACCACCCAGTGAGTATTAGCAGTCTCATGAGCAGAAAGCCATTAAAACACTTTTTGTTTTCCACGTTCATGTAAATACCATAGATGAGAGTGGAATTTCATTCTACTTTTCAGTTTTTTGGTTTTTTGTTTTGTTTTGTTTTGGTTTTGGTTTTTTGAGACAGGGTTTCTCTGTGGCTTTTGGAGGCTGGCCTGGAACTAGCTCTTGTAGGCCAGGCTGGTCTCGAACTCACAGAGATCCGCCTGCCTCTGCCTCCTGAGTGCTGGGATTTAAAGGTGTGCCCACCAACACCTGGCTCTACTTTTCAGTATTAATCTACTTTTTAAAACTATATTTCTTTGTATATTAGTAAAAGAAAAATGTTTATTCTCTGAATTATGTTTTTTCTGTTAGGATGTTTAATTTTTTTAACAAATCATTATTAGGGACATAAACTTATTTGTTGTTAATTTTTTTCATTTTCCTAGCATATGTATTTTTGCTTTTGTTTCTTTTCATTTTGTTATACAAACAAATTTAGTCATGTAGTCAAATTTAACAGTATTTTTTAGTTTTTTTTTTTCTTTCAGGTATTTTTAACCTGGAGGGCTTTTGTTTGTTTTGTTTTTCCAAACAGGGTTTCTCTGTGTAACCATGGCAGTCCTAGAACTTGCTCTCTAGTCCAGGCTGGCCCCAAACTCAGAGATTTGCCTACCTCTGCTTTCCAAGCGCTGGGATTAAGGTCAAGGGACACCCCTGCCCTCCTTGACCTGGAATTTATATTGGCGTGAAGAAGTATGAAGCCAGTGGGAGTAGCTTAATAGCTTTGCTTTTGTAATTTGTTGTTGGCATGTCCCAGTGTTCTAACATGTCCCAATGTTGTTGTCATCAACATTGGCCTTTGTTGGTATGGGCAAGATACCTGTCTTTTAGACAGAGTTCCATGTAGCCCTGGCTGGCCAAGAACTCTTGATAACTGAAGATGGTTTTTAAACTCCTGAGCCTCCTGCCTCTACCTTAAGTGCTAGGAGGCACACACCATCACTGTCAGCTTACTATAACACCTTCTAATAAAAAACACCAGGAATCTTCAGTTGGTTCTGTGTCAGAACCACTCTGTGTAAATCACGTGTTTGCTTATTTCCACCTCATTTGTCCTGCAGGACTGGAGGTCTAACCCAGGCCTGTGAATGTTAGCAAGCACTCTGCTGCAGAATTACATCCCCAGATATGATTTGTTTTCCATGACTTTTAGAATAAGTTGTAAATTGTTTGGGTTTTGTTTTCTTCGTGGTACACTGAGATTAAACCCACAGCCTAGTGCATTCTTGGTAGGTGGACTACCTCTGGGCCACACTCCTCAGCCCCTAGGATGACTTTAATGTGTAATAGAATTAAGTAACCCTTACAGCTACTATTTTTTCACTTCCCTTCTATGTTCAACAATTGTATCTCAGGTAACTTTATTGTAATGTGTTTTGTTCCCAGAAAAAATCTTGTCAAACTTTGGTTTTGTTTTTTAAATTGGTTATCTAGGTTGGTTTCAAACACATGATCATCCTGTCTCAGCCTCTGGAGTAGCTGGGAATAAAGGCATGGGTCACTTCTGGCTAATGCAACATTTAAAAAGTTACCCCTCCTTATCTTTTTTTCTAGACATTCCAGAGCCGAGTATATCACCAGTGACAAGCACTGTCCAGCCCACTTCTACATCAGATCAACCAAAAGAGAAGAAAAAGAAAAAGGAAAAGAAGAAGAAAGACCCTTCCAAGGGTAGATGGGTAGAAGGTGTAACGGCTGATGGCCACTGTTACTACTATGACCTCATCACAGGAGGTATGCTGGTGAGGCATAGAACTACACAGTAGATTTCCTGTTGAGATTCTTATTTAATATTGGCATGTGTTAAGTAGTGAAAAACTGTAACTTCCTTTTTTCCACAAAGTTTAGAAAATTATGCATTCAGAAGGATTACCACAAATTAGAGACTAGCCTAGAATACACAGTGGGATCCAAGCCAGTATGGGGTACAGCGTAAGAAGACCATGTCTCAAAAAGAAAAGGAAAAAGCAAAAGCTGTAAGAATACCCTGCTTATTGCAAGTCAGTGTCATGATTAAAATCCTCAAAGTTCCTAGGTAAGCTTGGTGATACACACCTTTAATCCCAGCACTCAGGAGGCAGAGGCAGGTGGATTTCTGGATTCCAGGAGAGCCAGGATTGTTACAGAGAAATCCTATCTCAAAAAAAAAGTAAAATAAAACAAAAGTCTTACAAGTTCCTTTACTTTCTTGATAAAAAATTGAAACTCTACAGAAATAAGCACTTCACCTGAAGGTCAGACTGTTCACATGTGTGTCAGTCTTCGTCATAAGTTTTAAGGGTCTTGAAATAAAATGCCAAGAGAAAAGGTTTTCCTTTTTTTTTCTTTTTTTTTTTTCCCTGAGTCATGGTTTCTCTGTGTCACCCTGGCTGTCCTGGAACTCACTCTGTGGACCAGACTGGCTAAAACTCACAGAGATCCGCCTGCCTCTACCTCCCGAGTGCTGGGATTAAAGGCATGTGCCACCACCGCCCGGCTGGAAAGGTTTTCTAACTAGTTAGCTTGGGAAACCAAGCTTTTTTCATAACCAAGCTTTTTTCATAGCTTTCTTGACTGACTGTTTAATTTTCCTCTTTGGGCTTGTGAGGTGACTCAATGAGTGAGGTACCTGCCTCCAAGCCTGACAATGTGAGTTCAGTCCCCAGAACCCACATGGTAGAAGGAGAGAACTGTCTCCCACAAATTGTCCTCCAGCCTCCACCTACTTACACACACACACAAAATAAGTGTAACTGTTAAAATTTTGAGAATTTCTCCTTCATATTAATGTTAAATACCAGTTTCAGTAAAGTACATAAAGGTGTTTTTCAGTAGGATTTTTTTTTTTTTTTTTTTTTTTTTTTTTTTTTGGTGTTTCGAGACAGGGTTTCTCTGTGGCTTTGGAGGCTATCCTGGAACTAGCTCTTGTAGACCAGGCTGGTCTTGAACTCACAGAGATCCACCTGCCTCTGCCTCCCGAGTCCCGGTATTAAAGGCGTGAGCCACCAACGCCCGGCTTCAGTAGGAATATTAAAAACATTTTTTGTAATCTTTTAAAGCTTAATACATTTTTTTCCTCGTATATTCTGGGGCAAATAAATTTATTTATGTTACCCTCCAGAAATACAGAATTTATGGCAGAGAAAGTAAATTTGATACAAAAAGGAATTTTCTGTTTACCTATTCCCCCACTCCCACCCCCATGCTAGATTTCAAACCTAGGTCCTTATACTTAGCAAGCAAGTGCTTTGTTTTACCACTGAGCTAAATTCCCACCCCATAAAAAAGGAATTTGAAAGTACTGTGTAGTAGAAATATGACTTAAAAATTATGGGGTACCTGGGCGGTGGTGGTGCACCCCTTTAATCCCAGTACTCAGGAGGCAGAGACAGGCAGATCTCAGTGAGTTGGAGTCAGCGTGGTCTACAGCCAGGAGGCAGAGAGGGTGAACAAACTGGGAATGATGTAGGCTTTTGACACCTAAAGTCTCCATCCCAGCAACACATCTCCTCCAAGAAGGCCACACTTCCCAAATCCTTCCCAAACAGTTTCACCAACTGGGGACCAAATATTCAAATATAAGAACCTCCGGGGCCCATTCTCATTTAAACCATAATAGCAAGGCATCTCACAGAAGAATTAAAGAGCACACAAAGATGGTAAAAAATAAATGACCTACCAAGTATAAATTCCCTAACTTCTGAGAAAAGTCCTACCTAGCCCTAGTAATTACTGTGAGAGTTTCAGTAACTCTTGACCATGCTGCCATTTCTTCTAGGTTATGTGACATTCACATGTATTCTATATAGAACCACTAAAGATATATGTTGTTTCTTTCATTTTATCAATAATAAACTATATTTCGCCTGGCAGTGGTGGCCCCCACCTTTAATCCCAGCACTAGGGAGGCAGAGGCAGACAGATCTCTGTGAGTGCAAGGCCAACCTGGTCTAAAAATCGAGTTCCAGGTGCCAAAGCTACACAGAGAAACTTTGTCTCAAAAAAACAAAATAATAATAATAATAAGCTATCCTGTAGTGTTTTGTACATAATAATGACTATCTTGTGGATTTTTACCTCATTAAATTTTGAGAACTTGTTTTAAAGCAAAATTATTTTATAATATATTTTGTTTTAAGCATCTCAGTGGGAGAAGCCAGAAGGATTTCAAGGGAACTTAAAAAAGGTAACTATAACATATTTACACTGTCTTTGCTTTATTCTTTCAAGTGATTGGCTTCTGGAGTTCACAGGTTGGGTGACTAGTCAGTTTTGTTGCTGGGGATTGATTGATCCTAGGGCTTTGTGAATAGCCAACATTCTGCCCCTGAGCTAAACAAATTCTGGCTGCTGTGGCTTTTTGTAGAATTTTGTTAAGCAAATTTTTTTTTTTTCCAAATAAGCAGTTCTATTCAAGCCCCAACTTGGCTTCCTTCTTCTTATAATCCTTCTGTTAGAGATGAAACAGGGATATCTCTGCACAAAAAAGTGGGGGGGACCCTATTCAGGATAAATATTAGTTGACTTGCAGCCATTTCTTGTTTACATGTCTTTCCAACTGGGCAGAATTTCTGGCTTTGAGAGATGGGACATTCTCTTGTTTGAAAGTTAGTAGTGACTAGCAAAAACCAGGCTGTATGGCCATGACTTTATCACCACTCTTGACTCCCAGGTGCCGGATGGAAAAGCAAGGTTAGCCACATTTCCCTTAGTTATTCAGTAGATAGCCCTTGTCATTATTCACAGTGTATTGTTTTTTTTCCCTCCTATTAGACAGCAGCAAAGGCTGTTTGGGTGGAGGGTTTAAGTGAAGACGGTTACACCTATTATTATAATACAGAAACAGGAGGTGAGTGTTATCTTTTATTATTTTAACTTAAAATTGTACCCAAAACTATATATGAGCTAATGTATCATCCAAACTTGGAAACTATAATATAATAATAATTTTTGTACCAAGTATAGATTATCTTTTATAAGGTATATTAAAAGATTTCTATTTATAAAATGTACTGTCCATCAATGTTAATGTGTATAGCTATTTTACTTGCATGGATTTATGCTCACCATATGTGAGCCAAAAGGCATCAGATTTTCTGGAACTGGAGTTATGGATGGTTTTGAGTCACCATGTGGGTACTAGAATTGAACCCTGGTACTCTGTGAGAGCAACAAAAATTAACTGTTGACCTTTATTCCCAGCAATCAGAAGGCAGGGTCAGGCAGATCTCTGTGAGTTCAAGACCAGACTGGTCTAAAGTGCAATTTCCAGGACAGCCAAGGCTACAACAGAGAAACCCTGTCTGGGTGGGGGGTGGGGTGAATTAACTACTGAGCCAGTTCTCTATGTCCACTTAATGTGATCCTTAATTAATAAGGCATTTGCAAATAAAAAAGAACCTTCAACTCTCTAAAATGACTGGGTCTTACAATTAATAATAATTTCCTTTATAAGTATCTATAGTTGTCACCTAATTCAACTTGTGTTGTGGTGAGGATCAAACTTGAACCTAATACTTGCTAGCAAGTACCCTCTTATTGAACTATACCTTCACCGTGTTGTTTTAAGAAAACAAAACTGAGCCAGGCAGTGGTGGTGCATGCCTTAATCCCAGTACTCAGGAGGCAGAGGCAGGTGGATCTCTGTGAATTTGAGGCCAACCTGGTCTACAGAGGGAGTTCCAAGACAGCCAGAGCTGTTACACATAGAAACCCTGTCTTGAAAAAACAAAAACAAAAACAAAAACCTTGTGTTAGAGATGTTGTTTAATGTAGAATGTTTGCATAGCACACACAGTCCTGGGTTTAACCTGTAGCATTACATAAATCTGAGTATGGGGACTAGGAAGGTGACTTGTTGGATAAAGTGATTGCTGTCCAAGTATGAGGGCCTGAGTTCAAATCCCCAACACCCACATAGCAAAGTGTAGGAAAAAACACCTGTAACCCTAACACTGGGTGAACAGAGATGAGCAACTCTAATGGCTTGTTGGGTGGCCAGTCTAGGTTCAGTGAGAGACCCTACCTTAAAAGATAAAGAAATAAGCGGAGAATGATGGGAAAATGTACCAGAAGTATTTGTCTAGCCTCAAATGCATAGGCAAGCATACTGCCACATACATGTACACCTATAAGCATATACCATACACTCAAAAAAAAAAAAAAAGAAAGAAAGAAAAAAGAAAAACGTTTCAGTAATCCCATCACGAGGAAAGTGGAGTCAGGAGGAATAGGATCAAAGGACATCTTCAGATGGTGAGTTGGTATACATGAGACCCTCTCACACAAAGAAGAAAAAAGTAAATAAATTCCTAGAAAAATCACAGAATTCCTCATATAACATCCTTCAGTTAAGTGTTTGGTGTTCCTTCTCTGACTTTTTGAAGACTATCTCCACCTGGCCTCCAGCTCAGTAGGTGGCTCAGTAGGACCTTGAGTCTTGATCCTCCTGCCTCTATCTCCCAAGCGCTGTAATTACAGGACTCTGCCACCCTACCCAATTGATCTTCAGTGTTTCTTATAAATAATTGCTTGTTTCTCCCAGCATACATCATATGTTCAGGTATATATACAGCTGAAGACTAGGAAGTCCTGGGAGGCCCAGAGGGTGTTAAAACTTGACCATGTTTGTATTGGTACTTATGACTATGAACAGTGAAGTAAAGAAATACCCTCAGGTTTCTCAGCCAGAACCACTCGTCTATCCTTGTCAGTCTTCACACTTAGCTTTCTGCATCAGCCTGGGTGTTTTCCTTTTTGTATGTTTCTAAATTCTTATTATCCAAAACCCTATATTACATCTTTTAGGAAGAAATGGCCTTTAAACCTTCAAACAGATTCTGCCCTGTGAGAGCATTGTTTCTGTACCATATAAGGAAAGTATTGGGACATTATAGAGCTCATACAGCCTATTAATTAATAGGGCTTTATAATTAATCCAAATCTAACTTCAATGCACAACTTACCAGTGAAGTCACTAGGCCTGTAGTCATTCTTAAAAAAAAAAAAAAAAAAAAGACTATGTTCTCTGTGGTTGGTAGGAGTTTAATCCTCTCTGTAATTAGTAGCCACTCTCACTCTATCTAGTTGTTAAGACAGTGTCTTTCTTTGTAGCTCTGGCTGGTATGGAATTCACCAAGAAGACCAGGCAGGCCCTAAACTCACAGAAATCCTCCTGTTTCTGTCTCCTAGTATCCTTTACTCTTAAATTGTCTCAGTTGGATAACAAATTGTAGTTTTTCTTTCCCCTTCATTAAAGTAGAAACAAGACAATTAGAAATACTTGTATGTCTCTAGAAGCCCAGTAAACACTAGATGGCAGTGTAGTTCAGCAGATTGAGAGATTGAGATTCTTTTACTAGGAAAGTGTCTTCAGTTCATCACTATTGTGAGAACTCCCGAAAATCTTTGTGATAAGTTTCAGGAAATATTTTGTGAAGTCATTCTTAGTATGTTTCTTGAAAATGTTTTCAGGTAAACTGAAGATTTTTAAAACTATCACCCCCTTCCCAAGTTCCTTCTCATTAGAGTTAGGGTTTTTGAGTTTAGTAATGTAGATTGTCCTAAAATTCCTGAACAATAAAAAAGAGGGGTCTTGACTTGATAGTACAAATAAAAAAAATGTGTTATTTTATAATTGTACATGATAAAAACTGTTATATTGCTGAGAAGTACTGCTAAAAAAGTAATATGTTATTAAAATGTATTGAGCAGAATCCAAATGGGAAAAGCCAGATGATTTCATTCCACACACTGGTGATGTGCCTTCTAGTAAGGACAAGGAAAAGTCACCTGAGTCCCTAGAAGAATCCAAGTCATCAGATTCTCACAGCGACTCTGATGGCGAACAGAAGAAACCAGGAGAGGCTTCTGCAGAAACAAAGAAACTGGTAATCAAGTTTAAGGTAGGTTCACTTTTCACAGACATTTGTCATCCTGAATGTCACAATGAAATCTTCCATTGTAGTATATTGTAGTAGCTTGCCAGTTACTACTATAGTTAATCTCTTACTATACCAATTTATGGATTAAACTTTACTATCATGGGGTGTGTATAGTTTGATAGAATGGTTTTAAGCATCTATCCATTGGAGATCTTGAAATGAATCACTCAAAATTAAGGGTGAAGTCAACTGTATTTTGGCATTTGGATAAAAGATTGTACTATTTATCCAGATTCCTGTTTTGAACTCTCTTAACTTTTTTTATTTTTTTAAGATAGGGCCTTAACCTTATCCTCTCGTCAGAGTGGATGGGGGATGGGATGGGAGGAGGGGGAACCGGGATTGGTATGTAAAATTTTAAAGAGAGAGAGAGAGAGACAGTTTTTTTTTTTTTTTTTTTTTTTTTTTTTTTTTTTTTTTAAAGATAGGGCCCGAGACTCATGTAGACCAGGCTTGGCCTCAAACTGACAGACATCTGTCTGCCTCTGCCTCAGGAGTGTTGGTATTGAAGTCATGTGCCATTCTTCATACCGGCCTTAAACCTTGTAACTTTAAGAAGCTACAGTAGCATTCAGAAATCTGTCTGGCCAGTGTGCATACTTAGACTAGAAACAGAAAAGCTAATAAACAGGAACTACTTAGCAGTGTTTGAAGTCTCAGCATAGGTGAGCTAGATGAGGAGAGTAACTGTGGACAATAAACATTTATTTAGTTCACTTGTGGAGGTGTGAGGGTCGATGTGGGGGCAAGAAGTGTCCCAGAAGCCAAACATGGAGACTGCATCAAGAATTAAGTCTGCTGTGCTGGAAAGGTGGCTCAGCTGGTAACGACGCTTGCTTCTAAACCACATGGCCTGAGTCCTAGCTCCAGCACCCCATGAAGGAGAAAGAGAACTTATTCTCTCCTCCATTATCATCTGACCTTTATACCTAGTCAGACCACACCCCCACACTACCCCCATGTACATGTATAAATGCACATACACAAAACCTAAAATCAGAACAACAAAAACCAAAGAAGTTGTGTGTATTTGTTTGTTTTAAAAGGGCTATGGGGGATGGCTCAGCAGTAAAGGCACTGATGGCCTGAGTTCAGTCACTGAGTCCCAAATGGTGGAGGTGGAGGGAAAGAATTGACTCCCACAAGTTGTCCTTTGACTTTCATGCATATCAGCATACTCACATACACACTGTAAAGGTGAAATTTTTTTTAATTATATATTTTTTTGTTTGTTTTTTGAGACAGGGTTTCTCTGTATTGCTTTGGAGGTTGTCCTGTAACTCACTCAATAGACCAGGCCTCAAACTCACAGAGATTCACCTACCTGCGCCTCCCGAGTGCTGGGATTAAAGGCGACTGCCACCAACGCCTGGCAAGAAGTGTAATTTTTTTTTTTAAAGTAAGTGGAAAAGAAGGAGAGAAGTATGTCCATGGAATTTAGCAGTCAGGAAGTCTTCAGTGCCCTTCTAAAAGTTTGACCACCTATTTTGGGTAGCAGAATTCATAGGGAGTAAAAAAGTAGTTTATAGTTTAAGTATGGTTGGCTAAGATGAAAAACAGATACTGAGACACTTGAGAGGTAGGCAGGCAGGTCTCTGAGTTTGAGGCCAGTTCCAGGATAACCAGGGCTACATGGTGACCCCTCTCTAAGAAAAGAAAAGAAAATTGAACAAAACCTGATGGCTAAGTATTGACTGAGATAAACTTGTTGTAGAGGGAAACCAAAGAAAGAAGAAAACTATCCATAAGAACAGATGGCTAGATTGGTCTTGAATAGGAAGTACACTCTATTTTCTGTAAGGTTAGCTTTTTGTTTTCTATGAGGAGTATGACTACAAAAAAAATGAAAGCATCATGCCTTTAATTTTTGATTATTACTATTGTGCATGTGTGTGATTAGACATACTTCTATCATGTCTTTATGATTGTTATTGCTGTGTGTGTGTGTGGTTGGCACATACTTCTAGTCATGTCTTTATGATTATTGCTGTGTGTGTGTGTGGTTGGACATACTTCTAGAAGTCAGAGAACAAATTTGGAGTCAGATCTCTCCTTCCACTTTTATGTGATGTGCTCATTAGGTTTTGTCAACTTGACACAAACTAGATTCACCTGGGAGTGGGGAGCTTCAGTTGATGATATACCTTCCCCATCAAGGCCTGTCTGTGTGGTGTTTTCCTGATTGTTGGTTAATGAGGGCAGGCTCAGCTCCCCATGAGTAGTGTCACCTCAGGGTTGGTGGTCCTGGAAGGTATAAAAAAGTAGATAAACATGAGCCTGGGGACAAGCCAGTAAGCAGCTTTCTTCCATGGTTCCTACCCTGACATCTCAGGGTGGTTAACATTAATTGGGACATGGAAGCCCAATAAGCCCCCCCTTTTTTATTATTTATTATGTACACAGTATTCTGCTTGCATGTATGTCTGCATGCCAGAAGATGGCACCAGATCTCATTATAGATGGTTGTGAGCCGCTGGCAATTGAACTCGGGACCTTTGGAAGAACAAGCAGTGCTCTTAACCTCTGAGCCATCTCTCCAACCCCTAAAAAGCTCTTTCCTCCCCAACTTATTTTTGGTTTATCAAACCAAATTAATACATACAAATTCCCAAGAGCTGGGATCAAAGGTGTGCACCACCATCATCGGGCTAAAACACAGTTTTACAGTCTTGTCAGTTACACTCTTACCAAAGAAGACACACCATTATACCCCTATCAGAGCTGAGATGACTGGCCTCAAAAGTGTAGGAAATTAAAGATTCTAGAGATACCTTTCCCAGGCCACGCTTAAGTTCCTGTCATTGCCTGCAATTTCTTTGTCTACTCCATCTGTTTTTATGGGATATAGGAGGAGACCTGTATCACATTGTAGAGAAGCAGCAACAAAGTCCTTGTAATAGCCAGCTCACACTGTTCATAGTTAACATTAGGTAACCTAATTACTTTCTATCATAATTATTCTATCCAGTAAAAATACTACAAGCCAGGTGGTAGTGATACATGCCTTTAATCCCAACACTCATGAGGCAGAGGCCGGGAGATCTCTGAGTTAAGACAAGGTCTTCAGCCAAGTCTGGCCTTGAACTTCTGATCTTCCTACCTCCACCTCCTAAGTGATAGAATTGATACAATATACCACACTGACCAATTTATGCTCTGCTTGGAACTGAACCCAGGACCTTCTGCATGAGTGCCAAGTACTCCACCATCTGAGCTGTATCCCCAGACCAGAATTTAACATTTAAATAGTAGGTGACTGAAACACAGTGAAGGTTAAGATCATTGACCTTCGTTTTAGAGCAACAAAAGTAAAAGAGCCAGAGGATTTGTTAGGAAAAATCATGTCTGGGGATATGGTAGTATGTGCCTTCAATCCCAGTGCAGAGGCAGGCAGATCTCTGAGTTTGAGGCCATCTGAACTACATAGGGAATTCCAGGACAGCCAGGGCAACACAGTAAGATCCTGTCTAGAGAAAAAGGAGCAAGAAAATCATGTTGCTGAGCATGGTGACAAATTCTGGTGATCTCAATATTTAGAATGGGAAAATTAGATCTTAGTACTAAGATGGGAAAATTAGAAGTTCAGGCCCAGCCTGGGCTACATAGGATATGAGTTAAGAGCCATTTGTAGAATATAAAAGAAATTCCAAGCAAGCTACCCATGGATGTGTAATTTGCAAAGAGGCTGAAAACCTAGTACATGTATGGTGTGCACACTAAACGTCAGTTAAAGGGCTTTCTTAGCCCAATGAAGATGTCATAAAGAACCAGCCCGACTTCTATGGGGACTGCTTCTGCCGCAAGGGGGAGTTATCCTAATCCTACCCTCCCACCCCTGAGACAGTTTCTCTGTGCAGTTCTGGCTGTCCTAGAACTTGCTCTGTAGACCAGGCATTTATTATGTTATATGAAAATTTACACCATTAAGTGAGTGGTTATTATTAAGACTTTTTAAAGAAATTAAATTTGGGGGTTGAATGTAGTGGTTTTGCTTGAAATGTGTTATTTATTGGCCTTTGCATTTCAGGAAAAAAATAAAAGTACTGAGAAAAGAACTGACCCAGAAATACAAAAAGAAAAAAGTACCCCAAAACAGAATCCATCAACCACAAATGAAGAAAAATCCAAACCTCTTAAGAAACTGACGAACCCTTATGGAGAATGGCAAGAAATTAAACAAGAGGCGGAGTCTCAGTAAGTACCTGAGAGGTCATCCCATCCCACTGCACCTCAGCACACCGTAGTCAAGAATTCAAGTGTACTGTGTTCCTTTTTTTTGTTTTTTTCAAGACAGGGTTTCTTTGTGGCTTTGGAGGCTGTCCTAGAACTAGCTCTTGTAGACCAGGCTGGTCTCAAACTCAGAGATCGACCTGCCTCTGTCTCCCGAGTGCTGGGATTAAAGGTGTGCGCCACCACCACTGCCTGGCTATGTGCTATGCTCCTAAGAAGTGTACCTCTTCCTTGCATCTCTAGAATAGTTTTAATTTTAAAAGATGAAACTGTTTAAAAAAAAACAAAAACAAGTTAGTGATTGTTTTCTTTCCTAACAAAGCATGACATTTCTAATGACTACACTTACACGCTCATCGTCATTTTTTAATCAAAAGAACAAATACTTAGCCAAGCAGTGGTGGTGCACGCCTTTAATCAATCCCAGCACTGGGGAGGCAGAGGCAGGCGGATCTCTGGGAGTTCGAGGACAGCCTAGTCTACAAAGTAAGTTCCAGGACCCACTCCAAAGCTACACAGGGAAACTCTGTCTCAAAAAAAAAAGAAAAAAGAAAAAAGAAAAAAAACAAAACAAAACAAATACTTGCAGTACATACTTTTCAAGATGGTTTCTTTTGCTCTCTTACTGTCTTGCAGTGTCTCACTATACTTCAAAGTTTTGTTTTTGTGTGGGTGTAGATTTTGTTCTGGTTGGGTTGGTTGGTTTGATTTGGATATTTTTGAGTCTTGTGTAGCCTTTGCTAGCCTTGAACTCCTGATCATGCCACTACATCTACAGAAGACAGCAAAAATAAAAGCTTTTATTTATTTAAAGATCCCTTAAGTTGTTGCAGGTGCATACTGCTCTTGGAGAGGACCTGGGTTTGGTTCCCACATCCACAGTGATAAATAACTTAACAACCAACTGTAACTCTAGTTCCAGAGGATCTGACATCTTCTGGCCTCTGTGGACATTTCACACATGTGGTATACAGACAAACATGCATCCAAAACGCCTATCACACATAAAATAAAAATCTAAAGAGGGGTGCTCTGTGATGCATATTTTCAAAACAAATTAGACGCTTCATCTCCCATCCCTTTCTCTGTTTGCCTGCTTTATTCTCTGTCTAGTGAATTCCTCTCTCTTAAGAGGATATTTGGTCTCCAGCAGGCTTTATAATCTCAGCCACTGAGTATGATGATCTCCTGCTCTGTGTTCAGAAGTCTCATGGGTGGATTTGATGCGCTAGCTCTTTCATAGACCGGCTGCCTGTATAATGCAGTGATTCTCAGTATGTAGACCATAACCTCCTAGGGGGTCAGATGATCCTTTCACAGGTTCCTAAAACCATTGGAAAACACAGATATTTACATTAAGATTCATAACAGTAGCAAAATTACAGTTTGAGGTAGCAACGAAAATAATTTTATGATTGGGGTGACCACTACACAAGGAAGCATGTTAAAGGGTTGCAGCTTTAAGAGGATTGAGACCCACTGGTCTAGGGCATAACAGGGGACTGATTTCTGGTCCAGCCAGAATGTTTATGACTAACCCACAAAGATAGTTGAAGGGCTAGTTCTCAGAATAAAAAGATGCTAGGCAAATAGTTCATTGAGTCTTTCGCAATAGGACATTAAGATTCCATTCTTTCCATCTTGTGTTATGTAAAGCTTCAGAACTTCTGTCAGTCCATGACGAATCGGTGTCCACAGTTTCCCTATTATCTGTTTATGCTGCGTGTCTTATATGAGCAGAGTATTTTCTAAGATACTGTGTCCTTTGTGCAGCAGAGACCTCTCCTAGCACGTGTCCACCTCAGTCAAAGATGAGTGTGCTGAAACTGAAATCAGTATCTTAAATAGCCTAGAGCTGGGCAGTGCACACCTAACCCAGGTCAGAGGCTCAGGAACTCAAGGTCATCCACAGTGACATTGGAGACTGCAAGGTTAGCCAGGACTACATGAGACCCTGTCTCAAAAGAGCCGAAACAGGAACAGCGCAGTGTTCTGATGACCCAATTCTGATCCCTGGTTGTTACCATTGGGAAGGGGCTCGTGGTGCTTCACTGGCTTGTGGTTTAGATGCAAATAGTTATCTTAATCTGTCAGGTTATAGTTCAGTTTTCTTTCTATTCCAGGGAAGAGGTCGACTTGGAACTTCCAAGCACTGAAAGTGAATATCTGTCAGCTCCAGAAGCTGCTGCTGGAGAAATCAAAGTGGTATTTAAAGAAAAAACTGTCTCTTCTCTGGGAGTTGCAGCAGATGGGGTGGCTCCAGTCTTCAAAAAGAGAAAAATTGAAAATGGGAGATCTCGGAATTTAAGACAGCGAGGTGATGATGAATGACTGGGAAGCCTTTCCGTTGACTGCTTTGGACAGGGACGTGCCCTTTCCAGGCTTCTCTGTGTTTGGGTACTGTATATACTGCTGCAGTTTACATTTATGCTAAATGTATCTTATGGGAATCAAATAAATCTTTCTTCATGTGAAATTTATTTTTGTTCCTCAAACGAAGCCTACCACATTGCATTGTAATACAGTGTATTATGTTCAATGTCTAAAATTGCTAATTATATGATAATTTAAGATGCTATGTATCTGTTATTTAAAACATGGGGAAGACCCTTGCTCTGTTCTTACTCGTATGAGCATACTTGTCCTGCATTGAAAATGCATTATTTCCACACACTGAAATTAACCTGTTAGCTGAGAAAAAAGAATCAGACACAGAAATGCACAGCCCCATTGCAGTTTGGTTTTGATGGTCCTTATTGAAGCCTGGATGTAGAAAAGTTTGCATATCATCTGTCTTAATCAATTTAAAACCAAAGACACTGAAGTGCAGAGCTACAACTGGACCAATGGTAGAAACCAGCAGTTGCCCCAGGCCAGCTTATGGCAGCAAAGTGTAAAAAGTGTTCACTTGGGGCCAAGCGTCAGAGAACTAGAGATAGGAGCGCAGTGTCTGTTCTTCACATTCTACAACAGTCCTTTCCCAGACAGGCCTCCTTTTCATAGCCCTGGATCCCTTGGAAGGTCAACCTAAGGTAATGGAAACAAAAGGCTTGAACTAAAACAGGTTTCATGGTTCACTTAGATGTTTCCCATTTTCTGGTTACATTTCTTAAGTAGAAATTTCATATTCTATTTAAAGTACCTCCCTTTATCACTTTTGCATATTTTTAATTATATTTTTCGTAAGTTGTACAATATGTAACTTTTGGTAGCAAATGTTTGTCTTTTTACAATTGCAAGTGTACATGTGAGAATAGCTTATTAAAAACCATAAAATAAATTAAATATTGGGGTCCCTTTTTTTCTAATATGGATCAAAGTTGCCTTATTGTCAAAATAGTATTTGGAGATTAATCTTTGCAATTATTTGGGCCTACAATTTTCATTTTGAAGCACTTCTAATTTTATTTTATGAAAAGAACCTGGGTGTGTTGCCTAGGCTGACCGCGAGTCCAGGTCCTCAGACCTCAAGAGTCCTGAAATTAACAGGTGTCTCACCACACCTGGATGTTTGATAGTTAAGTTTTATTGTTCTTTGACTGGGGTGGCCAAGGGTTTGGGGTCAGGGTCTCCCTGTGTATCTCAGGCTACCTTCAAACTTGCAGTCACCCTCCTGTCTAAACCTTAGTACTGGATTTGCAGGCATGAGCCAACAAACCCCCTAGTTTACTGGGTTTCGGGGGTTTGGTTTGTTGGGAGTTTCCATTTAGTTTGACTTGGTTTGGTTTGATTTGAGTTTTGTTCTTGTTTGTTTTTTTGTTTTTGTTTTTGTTTTTGTTTTTTTGAGACCCTCCTGTCTCCCAGACTACCCTGGAACTTCCTAGGTAGCTTGGCAGAAAGTGACCTTTTGAACTTATGATCCTCCTGTTCTATTTCCCCAGAGCTGGGATTGTAGATGTATGCTACCCCTCCCGGTTTATATGGTGGAGATTGTGTTGGGCAAGAACCAACTGAGACATAGGCTACCCATGGTTTCAAATTTTGATAGGTCGTTTGTCATAGCTGAGAAGTACATATTATTAGTCCTTGGCTCTTCTCGATTGGAAAAGACTAAAAGTGGAATGCTTTTATGCTTTATCCACATTTAGCTCCTATAAATGCAATATTGAAGACATTTGTTAAATTTATTTTTATTTGTTTCTTCTGAGACAGGGTCTCACAGTGTATCCCTGGTAGGCCTGGAACTATGTAGACCTGGCTGGTGCTCAGAGTGAGCCTACTTAACTCTGTCTCCCAAGCACTAGAATTAAAGACATTTACTACCAGGCCTGTTTTGAGGAGTAATGCAATTGGAATATTTATAAGGCTCTTGGGGTGTCGAGTCCACCCTTGACCAGCAAGAACGATGCAACACCGAGGAACCTTCTCACAGTTTAATCAGGAACCTTGATTTACAGTGAATGGTGGCCCCGGGTAGAGGAAGACAGGGCCTGATATAGTCTACATCTACTAATCACCTAACCCTACGTGGCGCGCCAGGATAGGTTATGCTCCAAGTAGAATTAAGGTGCCCTTTACCAAATTAGGAGTTGTTTACCACTGAGAGCACTCGCTGTCGGGCTGGTGGAAGGCAGAAACTTTCGCCATCCTTAGGGCGCGGTACTTTGCAGCTCCCAACATTGGGGCAATGCCAATCAGTAACTCAAACTAATCTACTACTAATACTTAAAATATATACAGATGGACACAAAGGAAAAATAAAAACTAACAAGGACAAAGTTCCTACCCACCAGTACCATGACTTAGTCCTTTTTCCTTGTCCACCTCTCTCATTAATTCCCAAATTTCATATACAGTCATGTTGAGGAATCTGTATGCTTCACTTTTATACAGCAAATAAAGCTACTTGCTTTTAGACATCAAAATAGTTTAATTCACTGGATAGTAGTGGTAATGATTATACAGTGATTACACAGTGTGTATGTACTAGGGACATGCTTCAGTTATTGAATGTTTGCCTACCATTCTGTAGCAATCTACACACACACACACTCAAAACTATATGTATATGGGCTAGAGAAACGCCTCAAGATACCTTAGTTCACATTCAGAGCCTGCCCCTCCTTTAAGTTGTTTCTTTTTATTCTTTTTATTTATGTGCATTGGTGTTTTGCCTGCATGTAGTCTGTGGGAGTGTCAGATCTTGGAGTTACAGTTAGCTGCCATGTGTGCTCTGGGAATTAAGCCCTGGTCTTCTGGAAGAGCTGTCAGTGCTCTTAACTGGTGAGCCATTTCTCTAGCCCCAGTGGTAGATCTGAGTCCGAGTTAGAGACCAGACAGGTCCATAGAGCAAATTCCAGGACAGCCAGGACTTTACAGGAAAAACCCTGTCTTGAAAAATCAAAAGCTAGCTGTCTTGCTTCACTCTATGGACATTTCTCTACCACTGTATCTATTGAGTGCTTTTTTTATTTTACCTTTTTTAATTTAATTTTTTAAATTTTTGTGTATGTGTGTTTGCCACATCTTGTAGGTACCCAAAGAGGTCCAAGAGGATGTTGGATTCCCTGAAGCTGGAGATAAGTTGTAAGCTGCCCAGTGTGGGTGCTGAAAACCAAACTCAGGTCGTTTAGAAGAACTGCAAGCCATGTTAACCACTGAGCCATTTACAGAGCCTCTCAAGGATTTTTTTTTTTTTTAATAAAAGAAAGTTATATTTTGATTAGGGGATGGAATATGTGCCTGCCACAGCATTCATATGTAAGTTCTCTCCTCCCCCTGTGTGGGTTCCGTAGATCAAACTCAGACTGAGGACTGAATAAAAGTCATCAGGCTTGGCAGCAAGCACCTTCAACACTGGGCCATCTCACCACAGTTTCAAACAAACCAGGAGCCATGTAATCAATATCTCCTTCAAGAACATAGCCACGATTATCTAGATAACTTTCACTAGGGCCCTCCTGTAATGAGCACTCTTTCCCGCCAAACTAGTCCCACAGCCATGTCAGCCCCAAATAAACATACAGATGCTACATTAATTATGAAATTGTCCGATGACTAGGGCTTCTTATTGACCAGCGCTGTCTTAATTATTAACCCATAACTGCTAATCTATGTATTTCTACATTGTCTTATCTTACCAGACAACACCTGACTCGAGTCCTCTCTTCCCAGGCTCACATGACAACTCCTCTCTGCCTACACTTCCCAGAATTCTCCTTGTCTCCTAGCCCTTCCTATCTTCCTGCCTGGCCAATAAATGTTTTATTCATCAACCAATAAGAGAAACATATACAGAATAGCATCTCCCATCACCCACCTCTTTAAGAGTGTATGTGTGTTCTGTATGTGTGTTTCTATGTGTGTACATGCATATATTTGCACATAGGCTCACACATGCCATAGCACACATGTGCAGGTCAGGAGAAACTTGGGCATTGGCCCTTGTGTTTCATCTCATTTTAGACAGTCTCATGTTTGCAACTACATAAACCAGGCTAACTGGCTCCTGAGCTTCCTGGAATTCCTCAGTCGCTCTTCTTCTTCTTCTTCTTCTTCTTCTTCTTCTTCTTCCTCTCCTTCTTTTTTTACCATGTTTTAATTTAAATTAGAATCAAGCTTGCTTCACATGGCAATCCCAGCTCCCTCTCCCTCTCTTCCTCCCCCCCAGCCTCCCCATTCCAACCCCTTCTGTTCCCCAAGGAGGATGGGGCCCTCCATGGGGGATCTCCAAAGACTTCCGTATGACTAGGTCCTCCCTCATGTGTCCAGGATGAGAGAGCATCCCTCCATGTGGAATGGGCTCCCAAAGTTCATTCGTATGCCAGGGATAAGTACCAATCCACTACCAGAGGCCCCATAGATTTCTGAGGCCTCCTCACTGACACACATGTACAGGGTGTCTGGATCAGTCCCATGATGGCCTCCTAGCCATCAGTCTTGGATCCAGGCACTCCCCCTTGTTCAGTTCAGCTGTTTCTGTGAGTTTCACCAATTTGGTCTTGACCCCTTTGCTCTTCACTCCTCCCTCTTTGCAACTCAAACACATTAGCACCTCCCAATAGCTGACCATTAACATATAATGCATAATAACTAAGCCACTAATACATGGCCCCTCAGGGTCATCCAAGCCACAGCAACAAACAAGTATTTGGGTCCACATTTCCAAATCTGGATATATATCCAACAGTAGAGTTTCAAAGCCATATACTATTAGCATTGGAGTTTAGAAAGATCGCAACTTTACAAGTGACTGAGGTGTGTGTGTTTGGCTTTTCAAGACAGGGTTTCTTTGTGTAGACCAGGCTGGCCTGGAACGAACAGAGATCTGCCTGCCTCTGCCTCCTGAGTGCTGGGATTAAAAGGTGTGTGCCACCACCGCCCAGCCTGTGTGTATATTTCTACCAATAGTTCATAGCATCTTTCTACTGGATACTTTCTATGTATCCCAATACCATGTTCTGGTCTTTTCCCATAGACTTTGGTGGTATTTTGTTTATGATCTAACAAATAAAATTTCCCTGAGAAGTGAAAGGCTAGCCACACTAGTTAGCCATGGAAGCCAGGTAGTAATGGCACACACCTTTAATCCCAGCCCTCAGGAGACAGAGGCAGACAGATTTCTGTTAATTCAATCAAGGCAGCCCTGAGCTACAGGAAATTGATCCACCCTAAAAGACAAACAGAGCTCACACAAAGGTGATCCCAGCACTTGGGATCCCACACCTTTAATCCTAGCACTAGAGAGGTATTTAAGGTGGAAGGAGACAGGAACTCAGAGTAGTCTGAGGTTTGGTGGAGACACACGCTGTTTGGATGCAGACTCTGAGGAAAGGATTGCCCTTTCAGTCTGAGCATTGGAGGTAAGACCTCTCTAGGAACTGGCTGCTTTGCTTCTCTGATCTTCAAGTTTAACTCCAGTATCTGTCTCTGGGTTTTTATTATTAATACTAACTAGAATTTTGCTACAGAATAGGCTGACACTGTTACTAAAAAGCTACTGTCTGGTGGCCAGCATGATAGTACCACCAATTCAAAGACTTGCTATACAAACCGGATGACTTGACTCTGATCACTGGAACCCATAGAGGAAACGGACTCCCAAAAAATGTCCTCCAATCTCCCCACTGCACACTGTGGCACACACATTCATGTTTTGTGTCTCTGTCTCTCTCTGTCTTCCTTTCTCACACACACAAGCCCATAAACATACACACACAAAATGTTTTTTTGTTTTTAAAATTGGGGATGCAGGCAGATCTCTGTGAGTTCCAGGCCACCCTAGTCTATAAAGTGAGTCCCAAGACAGCCGGGGCTACACAGAGAGACCCTGTCTTGGAAAAACA